TCATGATTATTTATCGCATCTTTCGAGTCTTTTGGAGTAGTGGATCATTTCAGAGTATTTAAAATTATTTTGAGTCACATTGATGTAATTTTGTATTTGTACGAATTTACGATTTTGTATTAATATCGGCAATAGCGAAACACGTCAGTACAATTATGTTTATTATTCAAAATCGACCTTAACTCTCCCGTTCAGAATTTAAGACATTGGTTTATTGGTGCCTCGATCGATGATTGGCTTTGTTAATTGATGTTCTCGTCCACGAATCCACCCCTCTCTCCACGACCCGTACCCTGAGCAGCCGAGTAAATCCCGTACCCTCGTAATCCACATTTCTGCGTATGGTTTTGCGATATGTTTCTTGTCGTTATTGAATTTTTGGGGACAATCAGTATTTAGTTTCAAGAAAATACGGTTCCGTTTGCGGTTTATCGATTCCGCGTTGCTAAAAATCGGCTGGTGCCCTAAATACACGAAGTAAGGATTGGATGAGCTGCTGATTGTTCCCGGAGTCCAGTTTTAGCGTCAGGGTTTTTGGCGTATCAGACTTGTCGGATTACGAGAACGAAGGTAATGAGTTGGCCGTGTTTGGATAATCGAGACTTTTGGGTTAGGGTTTATTGAGTATTTGTTGAGGCCAAAGAAAAATCGTTACAAATCAAAGCGAAAGGTGGCATCAGTGTACCGGCTGAACGCACTCAGAGTGGCAAGCGCATACCGCACTGTGTTTGAAAACGCAGTGCGTGTCATCGCCGGAATGCTACCCATTGAAGAGTTGGCCGAAGAACGCAGATCTCTGTATCGGCGAAGGCGATTAGAAATACTGAGCGCAGCGGAACTCACAACGGAAGAAAGACGCAACAGCATCCACCGATAGCAACAAAAGTGGGACAGCTCGCCTAGCGGAAGATGGACTTACCGTTTGATTCCACACGTGAGTGTCTGGCTGAACCGTACTCATGGAGAGGTTAACTTCTATCTGACACAGCTGTTGTTAGGGCATGGGTGTTTCCGGGCATATCTTTATAAATTTAGATATGAAGATTCCCCGGAGTGTCCATCCTGCTCAGGAATGGATGAAGATGCGGAGCACGTATTCTTCACATGTTCGCTTCAACACACTCCGTACCATATGGGATTCAACATTTGGAGGAAAAGTCCTGCCGAACAAGTTGGTGGCAGCTATGCTCTCGTCAAAGGCAGCCTGGGATGCAACGAGCAACTTCGCGGCCGAGGTCATGAAGGAGCTCCAAAAAGAAGAACGCACTCGTAAGATCAATAAATAAGTGAGGAAACTACCGAACCCTCCTACTCCCACCCACCCAACATCTAAATAAGGAAGGAGGACGTACGGTAGAGGCAACGACATGAGGAAGAGCGACGGCTAATGCCTCTTCCGCAAAGAAATACCTAACGCTGGTTCCGCGGAGGATGGAAGGTCAGCGCACTTGAGGTTTTTTCTGTTTCTTAGTCGAGGCAGGTCCCATATGGGGTGGACACAGCACTGGAAAAAAAGGAAACGTCCCCTATCGTACGTTAGGTATTTTTCCGGCAGTTTTTCTCAAGGAAAAAAAAACCCACACACATACACGCGTCTTCGAAAATGTGTCCGGATGATTCTAGGGGTCATGAAACGTCAACAAATCATGAAAATTCCAATTTTGATTTTCGGGGTAACTACAATAACTTCCTCCCTTAGGGTCGGGAAGTTGAAAATAGAATAGAATAGAATAGAATACGCGCGGCTGGTCACTTAAAGCGCCCAGAGTCACCTAAATCATACGATCT